ACTGGATATACTTACCTGGCTGCCTCTGCACAATCAAGTAGCCCAAGTTCTCGCATGCCTGTGCTGCCACCTCTGCCCTGGAAGCCAGCTGTAAGTCTGGCTGGTCCAGGCAGAGCAGGCTTCTTGGCCCAGGGCTCAGTGAGCTTATTTTGCCCATTTGACTCCTAAAATACTCTTCCCCTCAGATGAGCAGATGGACAGTTTGCAGCCTGGCTTTCTGAGGTCCTGAGGGCTTTTAGCCTAGGGAATCGTGTATTCAAGTTCAAATCTGCCCTGTGTCGTTTGGCTTAGGATCTGAGGACAGCTCAGAGTATGTGAAATCACAGCAGCTGGGTCAGAATGGTGTTGGGATCACCATTCTTGTTCTAGGGTTGGGCTGTGCAAGGTGTTACAGACTGCTCAGACCACAGCCAGACAGCGCGTCTCCCGTCGCTCATTTTGCCTGCTGCCCTCCTACTTGCCATATCATATTCTCCTTGCTAGGACCTGGGTATTCAGTGTCTACCATATGCTAGGATTTGGGACCACCTGGAACGTTGCTTTTGCCAATAGAGAAATATATTTCTACTGGGTTTTGGGAAATGCTCCTGTTTTTTGAGGTTCTTCACAATTCCTAGTAGTGCTGAGCAGGTGTTTTGCCTATCACCTTTGTTTTTTGCCTTATTTATGCTTATTAAGTGTGTGTATTAATGGCAAGTTGTCTACTACTGTTCTACTGATGGCAGAACTAGTAATAACCTCCCACTGGGAGTCCTCACAATAAGGAAAGAAGTCTTCTTACTTACATACCATGGGGGCCAAATTGTAATTTTGGTACAGCCCAGGAAAGATCATCTCATAATCAGATTCTAATAAAATCATCCAGTAAATACTAACTGAACACCTGCTTTATGCTCTAGCTCCATTCTAGGTTCTTTGCCGTGAGGTCTTACAATGAGGTGTGCTAAAGATTGATTTAGCTCAGGGGGTGATAGGGAGATTTTGGTTTTGAAAAATATATTACCGTAATATATGGTAAGATCTGTTTGTTTTAGTGGAGAAGGACCTGCTGCTTTGCTTTAAAGTAGAGATGAAGAAATTTAGTATATTCATTGTTTTCTACTTGGAAATAATGAGTAATGTTTTCTATGGGCAAACGTGGTATTTTTTTTGAGGGGAAAAAAAGCAGCTTATGTCTTTTACAGCACAGTGGGTAGTGGCAGGGGCTGTGCTATCCCCAAATGACTGCTCATCACCCCAGCCCGTCCCTAATAGCCCTGTGGCTTATAGGCAGCAGCCTCGACTCTGTGTTGTCCAGTACACAACCGAGAGATTGCCTAATGTGCTTGTGGAGTAGTGTTGTCTTTGTTGCTGTGGAGATATATGATTTGGGGATCTTTTTTTCTTGCAGGAGCTGCTAAGTCGCACATCTCTTGAGACTCAAAAGCTCGATCTGATGACTGAAGTGTCTGACCTGAAGCTCAAGCTGGTTGGCATGGAGAAGGAGCAGAGAGAGCAGGAGGAAAAGCAGAGAAAAGCAGAGGTGAGTGTGATACACTAAATCCCCGGGGGCCCGTACTGTCCTGAGCTCAGACCGGGGGAAGCCGTCCTAATGTGGACCCAGAGCAACTGGTCAATCCCAAGCCTGGCAGCCGCGGGGCACAAAACCAGCTATGCACTAGAGACACAATGATCTGTTAATACCAAGTTATCAAGTTTTGCTGTGGCTGCAAATTTCAGCAACGCCCAAACCACCCAGTTTTGGCTCTAAGGCTTTGTCCCCTCTCAAGCTGCTGACAGGGATAGAAAGGGATGCAGTAGTGGGGGAGGATCAGACAAGATGTGCAGGGACACAGGATGTCTTCTGTGAAAGCCAAGGAAATGGCACGTGCTGGGACGAAGTCAGCTGCCTAACACGCCACAGTCCCGGTATCCAAGGAATCTGATGGACATTTCACTAACCCGGATGGCACCCTTAGATTATATGTTTCTTTCCTCCTGATGGGTCATGTGGGTGAACCCATGCACAGGCCTTCTCTTAGAGAATGTTTTCCTGTGTTGTTTTGTTTTGTTTTCCGGGCTCCATATGCCATTGGCTAGAACATGCTAGATTCCTTTTTTGGATACACATTTAGAGAATTTTAGGCTCAGAGCTACTTTATTTGAGAGAGAACAGCCTGTTTTAACATTAGATGACCATCTCCTGTGTGCCTCTACCTACAAGTCCCCATATTCTCACCTGGCAACATGAGCTGTGGAAGGGAGATGGGTTTTAGGTTTAGAAACACCTTGGCTCAGTTACTGGCCTAACTGCTTAATAGCCTTATGAACATCAACAAGTTACCTACTTAATCTCTCTGAACTTCAGTTTCTTTACCTATAAAATAGATAACTATGTGAAGTCTACATAAAATCACGAAAGCTGAGTCCCCATTATAGTATCTGGCGTTCTGTAGGTAGCTCTCATCCCCTTTCTCCATCTAGGCATCTCCAAAATCTAAAGGTGGATATTGTTTCTTTCTATTAAGTGCCACCGTCATTGTGCACAGAAACCTGTCATGTTTCCAGCATATTCCTTGCATCGCTTTTGAGAACATGCTCATTAGTAAGAAGCATAGTTGCCAAAAAGAAGTTCTCTCCATTAAGCTAAGGACAATATCTGCTAGTGATCAAGAGTGCAGGCTCCCGAATCAGGTCTCCTGGCTGTAACCCAGGCTTAGCTGCTCAGTAGCTTCCTGATCTTAGGCAAGTAATTTAACCTCCCGGACCTCTGTTTCTTCTGTAAAATGGAGGTGGTAATACATACTTCCTATTTCCTGGGTGGTTCTGAGTAAAGAGTGAGATAATGTATGTAGAGTCCTTGGCATAGTGCTGGATATGTAGGAACAGCCAGGTTTTATCGATCATTTACTGATTGTGGTGTTAAGCCTGCTGGAACTGGAAATGTAGACTTAAATACATTATTATATATGGCAAAGGTCACAAAGGCTGAAAGTTTATCCGTGTGAATTGTTAGTTGAATAGACTCTGCTTCTTAAATATTCACAGAGAAAAAATTAAATTTTCTGCCAGTTCAGAGTTAATTTTACCAGTGTTTCAAGATGTGTGATTACGTGTGGACATACATTAGGGCTTTGGGGGAAGAATTCAATAGATTCTGTGAGAAGGCTTCAAGTGTCAGAGACTCAACTGGAAACCACATAAAAACACACACACACATATATATATATCTTTATTTCAGAGAGAGGAAGGGAGAGGGAGAGAGAGAGTTGAAACTTCAATGATGAGAGAGTTGTCATTGATCGGCTGCCTCCTGTAGGTCCCCAACTGGGGATCAAGCCCGCAACCTGGGCATGTGCCCTGACCGGGAATCAAACCATGATCTCCTGGATCCTAGGTCGATGCTCAACCACTGACCAGGAAACATAAAAAACTTTTTTTAAAGGCAAAAGGGTTATTAGGTCACACAACTTGAAGAGTCCAGAGTTTAAAACTCCAACAGCACTAGATCAGGTGACCTCACAGTGTCGTGAGAAACCAGTCTTCGTGTGTTACTTGGCTCTGTTCTGGCCTCATTCTCAGGAAGGCTGTCCCCACGTGGTAACAGAGAGGGCCATCGACACTCTGGTCCTAGGAGCCTGGCAGACAGACATTCTCTTCCTCAGAGGTTCCAGCAGAAGCCCTAGGACTTTGTCTTATTGGGTCAGTTTGGGCCACACGCCTGGTTGGGAACCAGCCGCTGCAGGGAGCAGCACCCACGCGTGGGCGTGTGTGGGCACGCGAGAGCCTCGGTCTGCCTATGGAAGCACAAGGTTAGCAGCAGGCCAGAGAAGACCGGAAGGAAGGAGAACTCTCACTTCCAGGCCACGCACAGCTAAGGCAGTCAGTGTACCGCTTGCTTTCATTCGTTTCAGGAGGGCTGTTCTTCAGTGAGGGGTTTGTTGTTCTTTTCCGTTCGGCTATTCATTTCTGAGGCAGCACGGACCCTGAGCTGCTGGCCTCCGTCCTATCAGATAGCAGCCCTTCCCAGCCGCTAGTACAAACATCAGGCTTCCACCTGGAGGAATGCTGCAGGCTGTTCAAACCCGTGATCATCAGTGAACAGCCGCATGACCCGGATCACGTTTTCCACTCTTGCAGCGGAACACACTCGTTGCTGCCCTGCCCGGACCTCCACGCCGTCTCTAACTGTCCTGAGGCTTGAACCCCCGGAGAGTGCTGCCCATACTGCAGTTGTCTTGTGCGTGGGGATGTTTATTTTGACTGAGACATCAGCTAGCTAAGGTTACCAGAGGTTGTAGTTTCATGAGTAAAAGGAATGTGCTTTCCATTCTGCACACTGCTGTTTTTTCCAGTGTTTAGCCTAAGGCCCGATTGCTTGTGGTTTGGAAAAGGCAGGAACTTTTTTTCTTTTTCTTTCTTTCTTTCTTTCTTTCTTTCTTTCTTTCTTTCTTTCTTTCTTTCTTTCTTTCTTTCTT